AAGCCGAGTATCAGCCCTGCAAGGTAGACCAGTCTAGGAAACCAAGGTCATGCAAGCTTTTATGATAAAGCTCTTGCAAGTCTCAATACGCTTCCTTCCACTCTGACGCCATCTCAGATTAGTTTTGCCCCAGACTCAAGTTTCTCTTATTTAACAATTGTCTTGGTTATCCCAAAGGTGCTTTTTCACGAGGCAACTGGACTTTCTTGTAAGTCCAGTTGCCTCATGAAAAAGCACCTTTGGGATTAACTATAACCTGGAAGACCGAGACTCTCTATAGACAAATTGTCTTGGATGCAGTTCTTCTATCCCCCAAGGCCTTTTTCCCTTTTTCCCAGGGTGATGACAATGGTGATTTCATCCATTCAGCCGTGTCCAACTCTTGGCGATTCTATGGTCCAGGTCTCTCCGCATCTTCCAATCTAGCCGTACTACTTTGAGTTGTTCTATACTCCGGCTAGTGTCAGCTTCGTTGGTGTCCGGCCAGTGTGTCCTTTGTCAGACTGGTTCCTTTTACTGCTAACTCTTCCCAACATAATTGCTTTTCTCCAGTGAATCCCCCCCACATAATGTGGCCAAAATAAGCATTTCTCACTACACAAAGACACACTCCAGCAGCCTTTCAAATTTCTGTTATCATACCCTACAACAATAAGTTAGCATTCCTGGAATCCTTGCAACACCCATTTCCTGATCTGGCCTACCTCAAAGGGCTGACATGGCCACAAGGATTCAGATTTCCAGACATCTAGCCCAAAACAGAAACATATTTAAATGTCTTGGGGTGAGTCATTTCTTCTGACCAAATGCACAACCAGTTTCCAAAATTCTTTTGGCTTAAACTGCCACATTCCACAGTCAAGATCACCGTGGTGATGTTTTGCCTCCTGAAAGCTTTGTTAGAAAACATTCACTTTTCTTCTCTTAAGACACTTTCTCCTCCGTGGTACTAGGTTGGACTGAACATCTGTTCCTCCTCAAAAGATGCAACTCACTGCTATGGCTTCTCTTCCAAAGGCTGGAACGTCAACCCAGAAGGAAAACTTGGTGGGATTTTAATCTGCATCAGATTAAAATAGACTGGTTCACCTTAAGGTGCCACCAGGAGACCCTTTTGTCAGCTCTGCTACTCTGGAGTAGGGTGCAAAGAGGAAAAATAACCCACCCCAAATTTCCAAAATTAAATTTATGGTTTTTTGGTTTTTTTGGAAAACATTTTGCTTCTCATTCAAGAAGCTTGTTGGATGAGAAGCAAAACGTTTTCAAAAAAAAAAAAACAAAAAACAAGAAATCCCAATTGCCTTTTGGAAAAGCACCTTTGAGACAACCAAGACCTGGATGATTGAGAATCAAATTAAACTGATGAAAATTCCAACATTCTCCCCCAAGAAGGCTTCTCCAGACTTCACAGCTGAAGTTTGAAGCTGACTAGGAGAAAAACCTTGAGGAAATGAAACATGCAGGCAGCCAGGTGTTCCTTCGCTCCAACCTCAAGACCGTCAAAAGGGCTGAGCCAGCCCATCGTGGCTCAAACCCGTCTCCAGGAAGAGGGCAAGGCTACGACATCGGTTTAGCTGGACTCCTTTGTGGCACAGCCTGGGCTCTCATCCACGTCGCCATGCAAGAAACCAGACGCGTTGGCTTTCCTGCACGCTCAGAATGTATGTCACACAATTCCTTCCAGTGCCCTCTGTGAAGCAGCAACCACAACCCAGATGGAGGGAGACGGGGACCGAAGTATTTTGGGAACTGCAGAGTCAGCCAAAACAGGAGGATTATCTTTGCTTGCACCACCAACCTTCACTGGGGTTCAGCTTCTGATTTATTCCAAGAAACCTGTGGTTGAAACCTAGGCCGGCCTACTCCCATCTTCTGGACTGGGCACCATCAGGGGGTTTTGTGGAAGAAAGTAGAACTTCAGATGTGGAGTTTTGTTTTGGTAGGAGAAACTACAGATTTTAGCCCTCGTTCTTAAAAATAACTTTTTAAAAATATACAGGAGTGTCTACTGAAATGTCACACCAAGGCACTGGCTGAGTGGTCCCAGACTTTCAGAAAAGTATCAGCTCAAGGGCTGCCATCTCAGCCTTCGCTGGCAAAATCTAGTAAACTTATACCATGCCACCATCACAGAAATAAAAGAACGGTCTACCTTCTGCACATCTGCTTAAAATGCAGTGGATGCAGAACATAAAACATGGGGGGGGGCAGATTTAAAAGTTTGCTCAGCCTAAACTGAGAAAATAAGTTGTCCCTTATGGGCACTTAAGCAGAAATGCTGGAGGAACCAAAGCCAGGGGTGGACTTCTTCCACGGAGCAGAGTTTAGCCCTACTCTGGTGCCTTCTAATCTTGGGATATTGAAAAGAACAGAATAACAGTGTAACAGAGTTGGAAGGGACCTTGGAGGTCTTCTAGTCCAACCCCCTACTCAGGCAGGAAGCCCTATACCATTTCAGACAAAAGGCTCTCCAATCTCTTCTTAAAAATCTCCAGTGTTGGAACACTTGACAACTTCTGGAGGCAAGTCATTCTACTGGTTAATTGTTCTGTCAGGAAATTTCTCCTTATTTCTAGGTTGCTTCTCTCCTCAATGTGTTTCCATCTGTTGCTTCTTGTCCTGTCTGAATTTCTGCTCAGCATCCCTAAAATTTTTCCAAAATGTCATAAAGGATCCAGACAGAAGAAATCTTGCTATCCTATCTGCATACAAGGCACACTGGCCTTGATCACAGCCAACAGCAACAAAGTTGTAGCCTGCCCTGGAATGGGACATTTCCCACAACTTAGCTCCTTTTTAAAGAAGGAACTTCTTTTAAAGAAGAAAAAATGTGCTAAAATGATACCTGTGACCACAGTTTGGGGGGGGGGCAATCTCAATGCAAGGAAAATCCACCCTATTTTAGAGTTGCAGAAATATAAATGCATGCGTGATTAAATCAATCCTCTTTCCCAAGATAAAGATGTATCTGATAGGTGTATTTTTTTCCTTTTCTGCTCCCTATAAAAAGCTGCAGCTTCTTTGTGGATACACAACAGTTCAGATTACAGGATCTCTGCTTCTCTTGGACATCCGGTTCAAGGAGTAAATAAATAATAATAATAAAAAAGACGCAGCTTTGAAACTATTCCTTTAGCTTGGAATCAGAGGGAAGGGCTTTGCCATTTGGAAAGACCGACTCCGTGCCCATCCTTCCAGGGGCAATGCCAGCTCTCCTTAAATGCCCCTTTCCTTTCCTAACATTGCACAAGACAGCACAAAACAGTAACCCGTGCGAAGACGCGTCACCAAGAACCACCCTGCAGATGTTTCCTGCGATGGACACCAGATATGCAGCCCAGCCCAAAGCAATTTAGAGATCCAGTCCCAACACTTACTTAAGAGTTTGGAGCAGCAGAAAACCAGCGGGTACCAGCGTACCCCAGTTTACCAGGACCAGGACTTCTTCACTTCACAGCATCGTTTGGTCAGCCTGGTTGGCCCACCAAGCCAACTTCTAGGTCTCCACCCCAAAGTTTCTCAACCTCGGCGACTTTAAGAGGTCTGGACTTCAACTCCCCATGCTGGCTGGGGAATTCTGGGAGTTGAAGTCTAGGCCTCTTAAAGTCACCGAGGTTGGGAAACTTTGGGGCAGAGAGCTAGCAAGCAGTTCTCAAGAGGCTGAGGAGGAGGAGATCTTTTGGTTTCCAGGAAGCAGAGTTTGGAAGCCAACCACGCCTACAATGGAGTTCATCTTTCCATGCTTGATGCTGCCAACAAACGCTAAAGAGGAAGTTCAGGAAAAGCACCCCAAGGGGAAAGGCTGTTTTTGTGAAAGTTTGGGGGGAGGGGACTATTCCTGGCCATGGATGGTACTTAAAGTACATCCAATTTAAATATATGTAATTGACTGCTTTGCCTCCGAGTCTCCTGCAAGCTTGCGGTGCTGCTGCATTGCTCTTGGCACGTCCACACATGCTAAAATTGCCAAGCGATGGACTGCATGTGGGAATCGCCCCACAGCCCTCATCTGCCCCACCAACGGTCAGATTCTCCCCACACCACTTTTATCCTGTCCGACACTCGTCTTAGCGTTTCCAACTCTTCCCACTGATCACAATCTCACAAGTACAGGCAGTCCCTGACTTACAACAGTTCATTTAGTGACCGTTCAAAGTTACAACAGCACTGAACCGTTCATTTAGTGACCATTTTTCACACTTATGATCTTTGCAGCACCATGATCAGGTGTTCAAAACGGCAACTGACTCCTATTTATGACGGTCGCAGCGTTCTGGGGTCACGTGATCCCCTTTTGCGACTTTCTGAGAAGAAAGTAAATGAGGAAGCCGGATTCAATTAACAACCGTTAAGGCAGGTGATAAAATGGGGCAAAACTCCCTTAACAAATGTTTCATTTAGCGACAGAAATTTTGGGCTCAGCTGTGGACGTAAGTCATGGGCTACCTGTATTCTCTAAAAACCCATGTCAACATTCAGGCCCGAGAGATTCCCGCCTTTGGGGCTGGCTGGCGTTAATCCAGAACATGTTAATCTCTAGAAGTTCCTGGAAGGATAACAGAAAAAAAACTTGGCCAGGCGGAATTCATTAGAGGGCCACAGAAATCGTTGGAAAAGAACGGAAGAAGAAAAAATGATGATCTGAAAATCTCTTTGTTAAGGACCAGATCTGAACACCAAACAGCCGGGCTCAACCCAATTCCTCTCCATGAAAAGCAATCCAAGACGGGTCTGTAGGGCGTAACTCATCGCCTTTTGGGGGGGGGGGAGCTAAAAAGGAAATTCCTGAGGAATGAGGTAGTTTCTGTAGCAATCAGGACATTCTTTTGAGAAAGAGGAGGACAGAGAAGAATTTCAGCTGTTTACAATACACACACACACACACCATGCACACTTTATGTCTTTATATACATTTGGGGAGAAAAGAAGAGCAAAGATTCAGCCTAAATTCTGCCTCATTTAGCAAGAGGGTATTGTAATAAATCAACAGGCCACTTCTGGAAAGTTTATGCCTGGGGGAGCGGTTTATTGTTAGAACCCAACCAAAGGTCTTCCAGATTGACCTAAAGTCCCTTCACAAGATCAGGCTTAGGAACTTTGTGCTGTGCACGGAAGGTAAAAACGGGAGTGAAGGAAAGATAAAAGAATGCCGAATTGCAAGAACAAAAAACATTCTCCAGCAACAATTTTGGGAAACCTAGATGCAGGATGCCAACCCTGTTCAAATGTGGGACAAAGATCTAGACTGGTTTGGGGCCTTCCTATAGCCCCCACATTATGTTCTTTTGGAACCATTTCATGCTGCCTGTTGGGCCATTCCAGCCATGGGAAACCGGTCCGGGTGGACCGTAACTTTGAGAAGTAGCCTTGCTTTCTCTCCAGGCACTCTTTCAACCTCTCCCGGATCCCAAAAGAGTGTTTCCAAATTGAACACAATGCTGTGCCTGGACCCGGCGGTCCACCATTCCACTAACAAGGACCGTGGGAGGAATTCTACCAAAATTTATGGCCCAGGAAGAACCCACCACTAAAAGAAAAGTGTCTGACTGGTTCAACTGGTCCTTCAAATCCAGCCCAAAGGTGCTCCCAGACTCTTCTCTTTCTGAGCCAAACCAACCCCCACCCCCCAGAACATCCGTGGTCAAAATGGCAGCTGCCACAATGCAATCAAATCCCCACCTTTTTGACATGTTGGGGCTGACATCTCAACTTTGTCCCCCATCAGGTCACACCTGCAACCCCCACCCCTTCCAATTCTACGTCCAGATTGTCCGTATCCTTTGGGACGAGGGAGACCTAGACTCTATGTAAAAGGAAATAAAAGTATATTAAACCAACTCTTCTCAAAAATCCACACCTCCTCCTTCTAAAGAAGCACCTGCCCATGTACGATCTGGACAAAAGAGTGTGTTTTGTGTTGTTTTTTAAACAACTTCCTCTCTTTGCCTATTAAAATACAATCAATCTTGAAAAATTCCTTCCGCTTCTGTACAGATAAATTTCCTATTTCAGGAAAGAAATCATCCTTTAAACATACCAATCTAGAACAGTTGAGTTCTCTTTAAAAAAAAAAAGCTAAAATAAAATTAAAGGAAAAGAGTGATAAGGGGGGGGGGGGGAGAGAACCTGATTTAAAACAACAACACACACCAGAGCTAAGGACAGGCCTGTATATACACACTTGGTTTACCACATTTATTGTGGTTTCTCAGTCAGCAGATCGGATTAACTGATCCAAACGGTTCTGTGATTTCATACACCCAAAGCCTGAAAACAGGGCAGAGGGAAAAAAAGATTTAAAACCAGTGGCAACAAGAGTTTTTTTCTTTAAAAAAAAAAAACACCTGTACGTGGTTTTTCCGTTTAACTTACAAGGAACCTTTTGAACCCTTCCCAAAAAAAAGTCTCTAGATGGTATAAATGTGAAATCCGGTCCCTTGGCACTTTTTTTAAAAAATCCTTTTCCCCGCCTCCAATGGTTTTAAAAAAATAATAATAATAATAAAAGGAGGAGCAGGCGTAGTTATCTCCATTGTCTTTGACCCACAAGGAAGAAGAAGACGAGGCTTAAAAGGAGAAGGGATTCCGATGGGCCGAAACTGCTGGCTGAATCAGTCATTTTTTTATCTATTTTGTTGACGTTCTGTGTGACTTCGGTGGTGTTCAGCACCAGTTCGGGAGAACATTGGTGCAATTCGCACCCGCTTCCGCTGCCTTCTCCGCTGCTTTCGTCACCTTGGGAGGAGGAAAAGGGAGGGGGGAATAGGAAGAAATAATCCATTTTTTTAAAGGTTCAACCAACTGCCTGAGATTTCTCCTCCTGTTGCTGACTTGCCTCTTCTTGTGGATTCAGACACCGAAATGAGACAGGTAACAAACTAATCCAGTGTTTCTCAACTGTGGCTGCTGGAAAAGGGGTGGACTTCAACCCCCAGAATTCCCCAGCCCGCTTTTGAATTCTCTCCTCAAGCAGCCAGTTGAGAATCACTTTACTAGTCTGAAGACGATGGACAGCTGCAGACGATGGCGAAGGGTGGCCCTCGCTTAGGGACCAGTTCTTTAGTGACCCTTCAAAGTTAGAACAGACCCCCCCCCAAAAAAAGAGGTGTTTATGACCATTTACAGAGTTCTGACAGTGACCCAGACGGTCACAGAACGCAGAGACAGGAAACCTGGTTTTTGGGGGGTTCTTTTGCTTTTTTTTTGAAGGCTGAGCCGATCTCTGGGAGAGACACCCTGGTCATTACTGCCATTTAGCGTTTTTATTTTCCAAGAAAACTTAGGGATTCTTTTAGGGCCCTGAAGTCTCCTTGGAAACAATGTTACAGGTAGTCCTCAACTTACAACGGTTTGTTTAGTGACCGTTCGAAGTTACAAGGGTGCTGGAAAAGTGACTTAGGACTTTTTACATTTACGTCCGTTGCAGCATCCCTGTGGTCGCGCGATCAAAATTCAGGCGCTTGGCAACTGACGCACACTTATGACCGTTGCACAGTGTCCCGAGGGGGAGGGATCATGCGATCCCCTTTTGCAACCTTCTGACAGGCAAAATCGCTTAACAATCGCGCCACTAACAGCTGCAGGGATCCGCTTGTAACAGCTATGGCCAGAAAGGTCGTAAAATCGGGCAAAACTCACCTAACCAATGCTTCAACTTAGCAACAGAGACTTGATGCTCAATTGCGGTCGTAAGTCGAGGACTAGCTGTGTATTCTCCCTTTCTTTGTATTAAATCATGTGGACGCTTCAATTCATTCTGTTCTCCGCTAGCTTGGCTGGTTGAGGTTCTCCAGATTTCTCAAACAATCAAAGCAGGGAAATCCGAGCTGGAGGGAGGGGCCCAGGACCCCCTGCCCACTGTTCTCCTCCTATGCCCATTTTGCAAGAAAGGGCCTCCCAGGGCCCCCAAGGCCTTCAAGCCTTCACCCGGCAGATTGAGATCTGTTTGGACAGCGACGTCCCCTTACTGATATCTATGAAGTCCACATCGTTGCCGTTGTAGGCGTTCTTCAGCTTGCTGATCATCACCCGGAGGGACATGATTTGCCGGCGGATCACCAGGTCCGGCTTCGAAGTGTCGACTTCCACTTCGGGGTTGTTGGCCTGGTTGGCTAAGCCGTTCGGCATCACAGCGAAGAGGTACCTGGGGAGAAAAGGGGAGGGGCTTCATGTCAGACAAGGGGTTCAAGAGGGCCCCGGGGGGGGGGGAAGTCCTTCGTTCATGGCCTTTGGTTTACCCATCGGTTTTTATTATGGTCACAGGACAGCATTAGAAATAAAGTCATCAAAAACAACAGTTAAATTGTTTTAAAAAACCAATTAGTTAAAAAATAAAAAAGAGAGAGAGTGTGTGTGTATTTATATATATAGTATATAAAATAAATCTAAAATAATACATTGCAATTAGTGGTAGATTATCAAAGGGGAGTCAAGAATCCGTCGAATTTTGCAGTATAACAAAATTTGGCCACATTCAAAGAAACATTGTTTAATGATGGTCTGAATGTTCCTTCACCTGCTCTTGTTCTTTCCATTCCAGCATTCTTCTTCGTGGACGTTGCCGGCAGCCATTTTCTCATTGCCGCAGATGTTGCTGGGAAGGGAAGACCAGAACTTCTTCGCCTGCTTCAGTTTCTCCTTCACATCGGTCACCTGGGGGTTCAGCAAGAGAAAATCCAGCTCGGAAGGGCTCCTGGTGCAATTCCACCTCCCCCTCTGTTGCCTTATCCCATTGGCCAGACTCCGCTAGCTTGGCTGGTTGAGGTTCTCCAGAGCCTCTTTATGATGGGTGGACTTTAACTCCCAGAATTCCCCAGCCAGCCTTTTGAGCTCTCTGTGGAATGTCGTATCTCCTGAGGTTACATCGGCCCCAGCCCTGCTAGACTTTCATAAAGGCCTTAAATCCTGTCTTGGAGGCCTTGAGTTTACCCATTTTAACACTGGCTGGTTTATTCTCAAAGGCTACTTTTTCTTGTGATTTCCTGGAAGTGAGTTAACTATTGTTATTTTGTTGTCATGAGATAGGTGGCATCTCATCAATCAACTGACCAACTGACCTTCCCCTACTGGCCTATCTTTCAGGCAAATGGACATCTATTCTTAAAATTGCCCAGCTGATCTGGTTACCTTGGACCTGGAGACCACCCACCTAAAATAGAGCAACATCAAGAACAATCTATTTTAATAATCTTCATAATTGGGGGAGGGGGGCCTGCTCCTTCTTTGGGAGGTCAAAGCAGAACACGTGGCTTGTCATTCTCTCCAAAAACTTGACCAGTGAGTTTGATTGTGTTACTGAGGCCCTTCCGAGCCACCGCCATCATCCAGGGCTCTGTACTCACCAGTCGATCCAAACTCGTTCCTGCAGCTGTTGTGGGACGTTCCTCCGGGTTGTAAGGCCTAAAGCGGGCACTGAAGCTGCTGTCTGAAGCGGAGCGGGATGTTCGGCTTTGTGCCAGCATCTTGGGTTGCCCACACCCTTGAAAGACCTAAGCCAAGGAAGACACAGGATAGCACCACACCTTTGGTGAACTGGTTCTCCCCACCCAGACTTTCATGAAGCAACGGTAGCAGCAGGATGGAGGTCAGTCTTCCGTAACCTGAATGTCCTTCAGAGATGTTGGATCTAATTCCTGAACACCCTGGTAGATTGCTGGAGACATCTCACTGCCTTGCCTATGAGGAATCCTTGGTCATCTATGGTGATTAGCCAAGTTTTTATATTCAATATTTACATTTCATGGCCCAATTTGTTGACCAATAGAGATTTTTCTGTTTTGGAGCACCAAGTAGTTAGAAACTTTTGTGAGGATGAGGACTTCCTACAGGACACAAACCACGAAGCCACCTGAGATTCTTCCAGGATTTTTTCCTGAAGTACTCCTCCTAGGTCAACCATTCTCCCCTTCCTTCTCCTTGCCTCCCTCTCCCTAAACAGAACACCCTCAACGTACCTTTTGGGACACCTGTAAGCTGTTTTCCTGCATATTCATGATGGCATCTGAAATCTTCACATCGATGGGGTCCATGACAGACTCAATGTTGAAGGGACCTTCCAACCTCTCGGCCAACATTAGCATTGAATCTAGGCAGCGAAAACCAGAGGCAAGCAGACACGTTAGTTAAGTGTTCCCACTGGTCTCAAAATCTCAAAAAACTGGAATTCCAGGAGATATGCAGACCAACATATAGTAGATCACCCCAACATGCCTTCAGGAAGTTCTGGAGAAGGTCCAAGAATTTGGCAAGAGCAAAACCATCTGCTGTCTCTCTCCAACTCATCCTTCTTAGCTTCTTCCACTGTCCACCAAACACACGTTCCATTTATAAACAAGGCCATTACACTCTCTCTCTCTCTCTCTCTCTCTCTCTCTCTCTCTCTCTCTCTCTCTCTCTCTCTCTCTCTCTCTCTCTCTCTCTCACACACACACACACACACACACACACACACACTACGAATCCCTCCCAGATCTCTGCTCTGGCCAGGCCTTTGCATTCATTAATTAAACACAGGCCAAATTATGTTGAGCGATGTTGTAAAAAGATGATGTATCTGGTTTATTTGCTGCTCTTCTCCATTACCTCACACTTTGGAGCAGAAAAACAAGCATTAACTTTAGAGATTTTTCAGTCCCGCTTTATTAATTGCAATTAACAGTCCTCCAGCTTGGGCTGCCCCAAAGGGGATGTGAATCTACAGCAACGGGTCTTGTTAGGCGGGCACCCCAAGGTTTCAGAAACCAGGCTAAAAGTCTGCCCCCCCCCCCGTGCTTTCAGCTCCTCCATACCATCCACTTCTGATCAGGCCTCTTTAATTCTGTCCCCCCCCCAGTCTCCCCAGGAGAGATTCCAGCCTCTTCAAATTGCATCCTTCTCCGAAATGTTACAATCAGAACAAATTATCTAAAATAAATAAGACCATCTGCCTTCCCTGCACTGTTTACTCAAAGTGGGTTTCAGGTCTTCCTGTTTGCAGAAGCAGCAGTCAAGAATCGGCACACGGGGGAAAAAGGCTTTCAGCCAAGGCGGGGTGGGGGGATGGGAGGGCGCTCCAGAACTTTGGGTGATTCAGATGTTGAGTTCCTCAGAGGAGAAAAGAAGGATATGCGTCTCCTTGTTACGGGCGAGGATGGGCACCAAGCCAAGGGTTGTTCTCCTCAAAGAAGACGGGGTGGGAGAGCTCCCCAAAAAGAAAGCAGGACCTTATGAAATCAGGAGACCACAAGAACGAAGATTCTCCTATTCCTGCCAGTGAAGCACCAGGGCCTCAGTCACGGAGTCATTCAGAAGGCCCGCCAACCATGCTCTCCTCAACACACACACAGACACAGACACACACACACTGGTGCAAAGCCAGGACCCCCGGTGATCCAGAAATGATGGGGCAGAAATGAAAAGTGGGGAGGGAGGGAAAGAAGGGAAGGATAGATGGATGGATGGATCTCAGGCATGCACTCAGACCCCTTCTTCTTCTTCTGCAGAAATTACTACTCTGATCATCCCAAATCACTTACTGATCATCCCCCTAAAAGATATTTACATCTTAACCAAAAGATGTTGGGGGGGGGGGAGAACAACCCATTCCCCCTCCATCCCCACCCACCTTTTATTCTGTTTTCTCTGTGTCTTCTCTACCAACCCCTCCCTGCCAGAGCAACCGAGTTTTGCAGCAGTGGGCAAAAGCGAACGCCAACCAGTCTCCCGTCTGAATGGCCACCTTTGTGCTCCCGTAAAAGAGGGCTTTTGTTCCATCATTTAAAAAAAAAAAAAAAAGGCAGGCCCAGCCCTGCTCACCTATGAAGTTGTTCCACTCGCTGTCCAGCTCCCCTTGGTTGGCCAGGCAGCCCCGCATGACGTTGAAGCAGTAGTTGTAACAGGGCTTGATGGCCACGAAGCCTCGGCAAAACGGGCAGTACATCATCTTGGTCAGGGCGCGAACCCCCTGGGGCGTGGGATTGACCTTTGGGGAGAAGGAGGGAGGAGGCAGCAGAAAGAGGAAGAGCCACCATGTTACCATTGTTGACTGTGACTTATAAATTTGTCTACGGGGCTACGAGGACAACATAATCCCTACCTACAAGGCCATAACTAGGAGTAAAGGCAGGCATGGATGCCTCCCAGAGCTGCCGGTGAGACCTGGCACCTTGGTCCAGTTTGGATCCCAATTCTGCCCACCTCCACTGACAACCTTAAAAAAGACAGATGGGGAAGGAGAAGGAGGAGACCCCAGACGCCTTCCTGGCTGATGGAATTCCCTACAATCCTACCCCCCCCCCTTGGGAAGTTGGTCCTATTATCAATCACTTAAATCAAGATGCCTCCTTCCCCATTCTGACTTCACGCTCTGGAGAGAGGAGATTGCTTTGGTATTTGAACACACACAACCATCAACCTATCTCCACGTGAGTTGTCAACATCTCACACCTTCTCCTCTTGCTGAAGGCCTGCAGATGGATGAGACCCTCATCCACGTTAAAAGACTCTACGATTATTTCAATCGTGCCACAGAAAGACGGAAAGAGATGCCAATAATACACTTTGCAGGTTATTTTAATACATTCTCACCGCATGTGTGTGTATGGTGCGTAGGCAGTTTAGCACTGAGAGTTCCCGTTTTTAATTTTCAAAATTATAGACAGAAGGGTAAGAAATCTGTGAACTGCGTTCTGTTAATGTCTCCAAGATGGTGGGGAGGATGACCGAATTTGGCCTTTGCGCCGCCCGATGACTTGGGCAGTTTGCACAAAAACCACACAGAACAATGATCAAGAACAAAAGAGGGCATAAACTGGACCAAAAGCAAAACTCAGGAGGTTAGCGTAAAGGTGAACCCTGCCATTTAAAGCACAGAACCCTGTTCTGCAAAATTATGACAGGCTTCCTGGCCAAGCTTCACTTTATACAGAGGCAGGGATTACTTAACCTCCAGCAGGTGATGGGGCCAAAAACCCATTTTCCTGCCTTTGGTCTTTTCCCTCTCCTATTTAATCATTCTTGGTGACTTTAAAACCTGTGAACTTCAACTCCCAGAATTCCCCAGCCACTCATCCAATTGCAAAGGCTTTTTCTTAATTTAGAGTAGGTCTTCAAACTTGGCCCTTTAATGACTTGTGGACTTCAACTCCCAGAATTCTGGGAGTTGAAGTCCACAAGTCATAAAAGGGCCAAGTTTGAAGACCCCTGATTTAGAGCAAGGTTTCTCAAATTGTTGACTTTAAGACCTGTGGATTTCAATTTCCAGAACTCCCCAGCCAGAATCCTGGGCGTCCACAGGACTTAAAGTCGCTAAGGTTGGACAACCTAGATGATCCCATCCAATCGGAAATCACAAAATAACCTGGGTGCAACCAGACCAGGAGATTGGAAAATTTCATGAAAGTAAATTGGATTGCCCAACATTTGGCAGGGGGGGGGGAATCTTTTCATCACTCTGACCTCATGCAGTGACTGGGACGTCCTGGCATTAGGTATCCCGTCACCTTTGAGACTGCGGCCATGCCATCAAGTGCACCTGCCCTGTTAGTGACCACTTTTGACCCCTTTCAAAACAACCCTTGATTAATCACTAATTGGGGTGTGGACGGTGCTGCTGCCAGAATCTTTTCATGCCAAAAAAATCCCCCCCTTTCCTTTTTTTTTTTTTTTTTTGGCTCCAGCATAATTTGAATGACATTTAGCCATATGGTCTTCATTACCGAGAAATTTTCTCTAGTCTATGAGTTGCAAAATATCAGGTTTCTCTCTTCCATGAGTCACTGCAGGGTCTGGCTTACATATTTCTCCCCCTTTCTTCTCTTCTAAATATATATAATAAGATTGCCCCAAGGCAAATCTCCCTGTTGCCCAGCAATTTAAATCTGTTGATTTTAATGCCTGTCAGGGATTCAATAATATTACAAATCCCCATACCGGCTTTTGTGATTTCCAAGGAGAAATGAGAGAATATGTTGAAGGAAAAGTCCTCCTAGTCCAAAGACTCCAATATATGCGTGTATATTTTGGGGCGTTGGGTGGGCACTGACTGCAAAACAGCCTCCCAAATTTACAGCAGGGACTTTGCCGAGACTGAAATGCCTTAATCTGCCCCTTCCCATCAATTAGGCTGAATTTAAAGAAGGGCAAAGGAAAATTTGCAAGAGCCCGGCTCAAGGAAGACATAAAAGCAGATCATCCAGAGCTCTTTCGTCATTATCATCACCACCTTTCTCTTTCTCTCTCTCTTTTTTTTTTACAAATTTAACAGAAGGAAAACTCTGCTTGGACTAATTGAAAAAGTGAAATTTGGTCTATCAAAGCCAAGCAAACGCCTTGTTTAGAACCTTTGTCTACAGCTCTCAAGCTTCTCATGAGGTTCTCCATGAAGATGGACATCAAGTGGGACCAGACACGGGAGGGTCGATGACCCAACAGATGGATGCTCTTCCTCCTCCTCTCCCTCATATACTTTCTGGCATGTTTATTCTTCTTTGTCCTACTTTCCTACAAGATAACAATGCCAACTGCACAACTGAAGTCCTGTTTTGACACACATTGCAGCTATGATCTTGACTTCTTGGATTCTCCCTATGATTTATTTTCAAAGTTGGGCGATCAGTGCAATCAGTTGTCTGGGACGCCCCCTACAAAAAGATGATACTCCCCCCTTCTGCAAATTGGCCACCACTGAAGCAAGAATACTCACTCACCGCAGAGACTTTGGCCACCGCATCCCTGGCCACGGCCAGGCCCTGGGCAAAGGTGCGGGCTGCCACAAAAGCCCGGGTCACCTGCAGCTTCAGCTTTCGTGGGACGTCTCCAAAGGGCTTCAACTGCTCAGTATACTTGCTGACGCACTCCAGGTACTCGTCCGAAAAGTGATACTGGGGGTTGACCAGGCGGAACATGCGCTCCAGGAGACGGGCCCAAAAGTCATTCAGCATGTCTTCCAGGTTGACCCTCCCGCCCGCATAATATCGCTTCAGCTCCACAAAGAGGTCCTTGAACATCTCCGAGTTCTGCGTATACAGGAGGCCGTAAGTCCGTACAAACATGTCGTTCAAGGATTTCTCCGCGTTGTCCAGGAGCTCTCTGAAAAACTCTGGGAGAAGAGAAGGAAGAAATTGACTGCGAGGAATTGAGGGGGAGGGTGTTAACATCTAAGGTAACGTTCTGGAGAAAGTTCCACCACGTTTGGAAGGAATCAGCGGTGTCCACAGATTGGGTTGAAGTCAAGATGGTAGCTATGATTGTGTGATTGAAAATGTTTTGCACATACAGCACATGTTAAAAAAAGGGACAGGGGCTCTGACCACAGGATGGTAGTCACCGTCCTGACCTCTTGACCCTGCAGAGGCTGCAACGGGAATCCTACCTACAAAATGCAGAAACTTCTCTATTCTTTGACTAGAAATTGGACAATAAGCAAAAGATTTCAGAGTCAATCAAGAAGGGACAATATTTTGAATTAGGTACAGAAAAAGCCAACTCAGTAAGCCCATTTCTTACATATTCCCCTTACATATATTCCTATTATGTTATTCCTATTCCTAGAAACATTTGGCCCAAGTCAGTTTACCCCCAAATAGCATCAAAACAGTGAAGACAAAAGCCAACCTAACCCATGTTGATTTGGTGATGGACATACCATCAATATATCCAGATCCTTATCTGGATACATCAACGGTATGTCCATCACCAAATCAACATTGGTTAGGTTGGCTTTGTTTCAAACTCCATTTCCTTTTTTGTGCTACGTGAACCCAGGTCATATGATCTGTTCATGGCTCAACATGGAATCCAAACCCAGGGGAAAAAAGGTTGATCTACCCATACTGTACAGAACGCAGCTGCCAAGTCTTCATAAAGAAGTGTCCAACTTCAGAACCTCAATCATCTTCCAGGGGTTCAGCAAGGATGGGAACCATAGTCCCACCTATCACATAGTTGCTGAGTTGGCACGGAATGGCCTTGGAGAATCCTCCCCCCAAAAAGTCCAACCAGCCACAGGCAGACGGTTGGGGCAATACAAGTATTGGTTGTGGGAGTATTCCACACCACACCTGGAAAATGCGACCGGAGAAAAGAGAGTTGAAAGGGCAGGAGGCCCTCTGCAGCCAGAAAGTACCGCAAGGATTGTGTTCAGGGAGTGGTCCTCAGAGATATGAAGAAAGCCCAACAAGAAATATTTAATACCGCCATGTAATAACCTAAGAAATTTTTAACAAGGGACAGATGTCTGTAACATGAAACAGCTGGCCTTCTCCCAAAGAGTTTCTTTGCAAGATTACCATCTCTCGCCCAGAGAGATGGTAATCTTGCGTAGAATGGGGTTTTATGATTTAATATCCCTCAAAACTGGGGAGAGCGGAAGGATCGGGTGGAGAATGAATGGATAGGGTGAGAATTCGTAGGGCTGGAGTTTGGACCGCAAGCCCAGCCCTTCCTTGCAAGGTGAAGAGGTTGGTGGAGGCTTCATCCAGAGCCCTGGGTGTCTTCTCCAGACCTGGCTCCGGCAAATATGTTCGAATCACACAGGCCTCTGTGCTGCACCCTCAAAGGAGGCAGTGTTTCGACTCAAAAGTGGTCAGAAACTGGTGGAGGGGGGGGCAGCCGGGGAAAATATCTCTGGCCCCCTCTGAATTTAAACCTTGTTTAAAGACAGGCTGCAGTTTGAATTCGGTTGGAATTCAAACTTTCAAAATCTTCAAAGGGCTCCAGCACAAACAAAGTCTGACTCAGGACATTTTGGAGGGGGGGGAGAGAGAAAAAAATGGGAGGGGGACTTTTAAAATACATCCACAAGAAGGCTGCTTTTGAATGTGGCCGTGGGCTCTTGGGATGGACTTGGCCAACGAAAGAAGAGTTTGAGGAGCAGAATCAAAACAGACCCTGAAGCCAAGGCTCCCCACACCCTCCAGAACCCCTTGGCCAGGGTTAGCACCAAGGCATCTGCCCGTTCCCAGGACTGGCCTTTCCTGCCTGCAATTCCCTCCTGCTTTCCTCTAGGTTACAAACCTGCACAGGGTGGGAGGTATTAATTTCTAATTCACTTAATCATGTTGAAGGCTCGCTTCCTCTCTCCCCCCACCCCCAACCCTCTGCCTTCCTGACCTTTGAATCCAAAGACGGATCGGTTTCCTCTTTGGACGCTTACCTGGAGAAAAAGCCTCCGGATCACATTGGCTCTGAAAATATCCCTCCTGGTCCCGCTGAGCGGCCAGTTTTTTTTTTTTTTTTGATAGACAGAATAACAGAATTGGAAGGGACCTTGGAGGTCCTCTAGTTCAACCCCCTGCTTAAGCCGGAGACCCTAGACCCGGAGTGCCAACTTTGGAACTTTAAGACTTTGTGGACTTCGCAGCCAAGTTGAAGTCCACAAATCTTAAATTTTGCATACAATTACCTCACACTGTTCTGGACAAATAGCAATCTAGTCTCTCTCCCCCCAGTAATGGAGCACCCACAATTTCTGGAGGCAAAGCCTTCCATTGATTAATTGTTCTAAATTCTCTTTATTGCTAATAAACCGCAGGTCAGTTGGGAAGGCCCTGGGTGTGTCAGAGCATGGCTGAGCATCCTGCAATCCCAATCTAGGCCACCCCATTTCTTCTGAAAAACCGAGATTTGGGGTTGAATAAGCCATCTTCCCAAGAGCCAGCCCAACACCCCAGTTGGAGAGCAGTTCACTAACGAGGCCAGTGGCAGGGGGTAAGTAGCTACTAGCCCAGGTGAGAATTTACTCTGAAGGTTATCCTGGTTAAGTATTAATTTTCCCCCTTGAAGAAGGCAGATTGATGCTGATTAATGAGCCTCAAGGTGGCCTAGGAATAACCCTACAACTTTGAAGGGGGGGAGAAGAAAGAATGGTGGGTGGGCAAGCTGCTATCTTGACAGTTTGAAGGACAAAATGAATTAACACCTTTTGTTTGTCTTGGGAGCAGGACTTGTTCTCAAACACAAGCTGGACGTTTAGAGATTACTTTCTTGTTTTACAGCATTGTAAAAGTGTGTGTTTTACAGTGGGGGGGAGGAGCGTTGCCTTGAAATTCTCAATGAGGAGGGTGAGCCAGTCAAACACAACTGCAGAAGCTCAAAGGGGGGGGGGGTCTTAGGAAGGCACCAAACTATTAATAGCCAGAGAGCTGTTGCTCCATTTGGCTTAGAATGAAATTGTGCTGATGGACATGGCCAAGGCCTTGGGGAATTGTGTGTGTGTGTGTGTATGTGTGTGTGTGTGTGTGTGTTTGTGTGTGTGTGTGTATGTGAGTGTATGGGGCAGGGTTTGGGGCAGAAAATGGCCCTTTTGCTACATTTATCATATTATTATTATTATTATTATTATTATTATTATTATTATTATTATTATTATTATTATTATTATAAACCTATTCTCCAAAGCACCTGAAGGCAGGACAAGAAGCAACGGATGGAAACTAATCAAGGACAGCAGCAACCTAGAAATAAGGAGAAATTTCCTGACAGTGAGAACAATTAACCAGTGGAACTTCTTGCCTCCAGAAGTTGTGGGTGCTCCATCCCTGGAGGTTTTTAAGAAGAGACTGGACAGCCATTTGTCTGAAACGGAATAGGGTCTCCTGCCTGAGCAGGGGCTTGGACCTTCCAGATCTGTTATTCTGCTTATTTTCTCCAAGTGGCCCCATCTATCAAGCATTACAATGCATGAACTCTTAAATAACGGTAAGCTTGGCTGTGGAATGCTTATTAAGTTTCATCTCAGCCACACACAAGAAAAAGAAATTCCAAATAATGATAAAACCCCCATGGGGGGGAGGGGAGAAGAACTTTGATGTCTCTCCTTGCAATGCCCTAATTCAGATCAAGAGGGACCCTGCTGGTTGCCCTAGATCCCCTTAACTGATTTCCAGATCCTCCAATACTAACCCAGATCATTTCCCACAAACACGTGTCTAGTTCTTGCGTGGGGCAGAAATGGGTCAAGCAAAGTGCTGAAAAGAAGACTGGGCACATTCACAAGTTCAGACGCCTGCCATTTTGGTGGACCTGTGGCTGGAACTGTGATGCATATGCCATCTACATGCCAGAATGGGGGGGCGGGGGCGGAGGTGTGAGCTGGATGGGGACATCAAAACAGATGGGCCCTTCCTGTTAAATCTTCCACCTCTCCAGACTTCAGAAATGGGGTCTCCATTTTGGGAGAGAAGGATGGGGCTGGGAGACAGGGAGGGCCGCAAAACCATCCAGAGTGTGGAGACGGGAAGTTAAGTCCCTCTGGTTTTTATCTAGCACAATGGTCAATTCATCCTGGTCAACTCTTTCTCTAAACCAGGAGTGTCCAACCTTGACCACTTTAAGACCTGCAGACTTCAACTCCCAGAATTCCCCAGCCTTCTGGGAGCTGAAGTCCACAAATCTTTAAGTTGCCAAGGTTGGACATCCTTGCCCTAAACATTTGCTGGATAGCTGAACAAGAGGCGGACAAAAGCCTCTCTGCCCTGGACAGATTGTCCTCTGCAATCTGACTCCCCGGGAGTCTCCTGACACTTCTCAGTGTCTTCCCTGGGATCAGAAGAGTGGAGCAGCAGCTTTCCTAGGAATTCCGGAGAGCCATTTGGTTTGGAGAACCATCTGTTAGCACTTATTGGCACAGGAAAGAGAGGAAAAATAGAAAGAGAGAGCGAGAGAGAGAGAGAGAGAGAAAAAAAAGGAAGGGAAGGAGGGAAGGGAAGCCCAGCTGAGCTTGCATTCGTAATTAAAGAAGCTTTAGAGAGGGAGGGGCAAGAAAATGTGCTCCCGGGTGAATTTGCAAAGCCATCTGTCTGCCTTGCAAAAATCTTCCCCCCAAATGTCAATTTGCTCGGCTTTTCTGCAGCTGGGAGACAGGCCAGGGCAAGGGCAGCCCTGAACGGTTATTCCTAGTTGGACGGCTGCCCGAGCGCCAGTAAACAGTTCCTGCCTCCCAGCCCCGATGCCTCCCTTCCCTCCCAGAATTGGCTCCCACCGATACCAGAAAGAGGTTGAGACTCTGCAGAAGGACTGGAAATCTGCAGGCTAAAACCTTTGCTGAATGGTTGCAGGAACTGGGTATGTCTAGCCGAAAGAAGAGAGGGGAAAGTCTTTCCAGATTTGAGGGGGTCGACCTATTTTCTAAAGCAGCACCTGAAGGCAGGAGAAGAAACAATGGGTGAAAACTAAGCAAGGAGAGAAGCAACCTAGAACCGAGGAGGAATTTCCCAGCAATGAGAAGAATCAACCAGGGGAACGGCTGGCTGCTCCATCCCTGGAGATCTTCAAGAGATTGGACAGCCGCAGTATCGGGTCTCCTGCTCAAGCAGGGGGTTGGGACTAGAAGACCTCCAAGGTCCCTTCCAACCCTTTTGTTCTGTATTCCCGGCAAGCCCCCCTTTTGCATCCTGCAGGGAAGGGGAACCTCCAGCCCTTGGCTGGCTGGCCCTCAGGTCTCTGCCCAGAGAAAGGTCAGATTGAGGGGGGGGGGTGCTTCCTCTGCGCTATCTTCTGCTTCCTGGGGGCCAATCTGGTTTTTAGCAATCCCATCCTGCTGCCCAAATCCAACTAATGATGATGGGGGGGATGAGGGGGGGGGGTTCAAGTCTTCCTTTTTTTACTCCTGGTGACCAGACTGATAGCTGTTCTCCATAGCGAAGGAGTCACAGAAGGAAATGCCCACTGTCCCTTCTTTGTTCCTGCCCCCCCCCTGCTCTTCTTTGCTCGCCTCTCGGTGTCAGATTTCACTCTGTCCCTTTCCAGACTGCCTGTGCCTGTGTCACAACTGCACAAAGAATAACAGCTAACAGCGGAGAAGCCACAAAAGCAGAAACATGCATCTTTTAATTCTGCAAAAACCACACACTCAAAACAGATTCTGAGACGCCTGACCTTTGAGGAGCCATGTTGGTTTAAGGCCTCCTTGCAAAAGCCATGAAAGAAATAAAGTCATTTGCTGCCCTTTCCATTGGCTGAAAGGTTGCTGAGGCTAAAGTTATGTCACGAATGGAAGAGCTGAAAACCAGCATTTCCCCACAAAAAAGGGGGGGAATAAACCCCCTTCGGACCCACCTGTGCTTTGGTTTCCAATCCTCACAGCAACCAGGAACCACAATACGCTAGAACCATCAAATTTAGACTTGAATGGGTCACAGGGTTTATGCAAGCAGCACAGTGAAATCCAGGCTCCAGATTTTATGCAGGTATTTAGGAACCAGAGTGGAAATGTGGTTGCGTTCCCCACGTGGGCCACTCAAAGAGACTCCATCAGGGCATCTACGGAATGCATTTGCCAAGCAAGAGAAGAGAAGAGAAGAGAAGAGAAGGAGGAAGGGAAGGGAGGAGAGGGAGAGAGGAGAGGGAAGGAGGAGAGGAGAGGGGAGATGATCCAAACTAGCCCTATTGGACAAGCCTCCAACACGTGAATCTTGATTCAGAAGTCGCCCAGAGCAGAGACTCACCGTCAAACTTTTTGTATCGTGAACTGAAGGTGCCTTGCAAATTGTTGCTCAGCTCGACAACAGCATGGCTGAAATCTTGTCTGCTCTGCTGCCAGTACTTCTCCTCCATGGCTTGGGAACAGCAGGTGTACCCTTGAGGGCAAACTTTCAAGTGATCACCTAAAAACACATCAAAGGGAGAACTTGAGCCCAGGCACCCATGTCCATGCCAACCGCCTGGTAGCTTAGCTGTGCCAATCCACAGAAAGCAAGCTCCTGGTAAATATTTTGTTAGGGCATCTCTTCAGTTTTATGGTTTTTAGAACCTGCCCAACCTCTTGTAACTCCATTCAGGGTGGGTTACCAGAAGTAAGTCTTCTAAAAGCAAGGGTTAGGAATAAACCAAAACAAAAACCAAGACTCGTCATAAATCAACCAGACCGCCAGACAGAGGCTGAGTAAAAGGCCCGGTAAAACAAATCTGTCTTCAGCAATCTTCTTAAAACCACAAGCATCCAAAATGTGGAGGGTAGGGGGCTGGGGGGGGGGGCAGAGAAGACCTTTGTTTCATCCTTGTGCTCATGACCTCAGAGAGAGGTTAACAGATGTGCAAACTCACTTCCACAATGTGCAGGAACCAGCGAAATGGTGACTGCGTTTTGCATGGCACTAAACTAGGATTCATGGCTTGGTTGGCAGCCACCATACCGAGCTTGCCACAGCTCTAAACAGCTTTCACACAACTTCAATATACAACAGCATGGCCCTTGCAAGAGAGCAGCCCAGCCCAGACCCATTGGCCTAAAGATTCAAGCTTCTTGCGATCTTTGTTTGAACCCAGCCCCTAACCATTTCAACATGTTTTCCAATCAGCGTCATCTTTTTCAGCCCAGTAAATCCATGCTTAAATCCATGTCTCAGACCAAAAATTGCAGGCTGAGTCACGGGCGATCGTCATGCCTGGTTTGGCCCAGCTTTCCTGTTTGCTCTTTCTCCATTTGAAATTTTATGGGCAAAGGACAAAGAACCAGCCTGTGGACCGCTTCACCTTTTGGGTACCTCTCTTGTTTGCACAGGGCTTGTGTTGAGAAGCAGCCCCGTTCAGTAACACAACCTCCAGATTCAATCAAATTGAACAGAAGTGTAGGAGAAGAACAGGCTGAGCTAGAAGGTGGAGTTAAATGTGTCATAAGTTTAGAGTCCTGGCGTTGCCACAAGGGACCCAAGTTGAACCCTCCTTGTTGACCCTTATCTTTAGCTTTGACTGTTAGTTGACTAGATTCTTGTGTTTAAATAGCAATAATAAACTCTTCTGGGCTTTGAACTCAACTCATGCTCTTGGTTATTTGCGCACTGACAAGAAGTGGTTTTACCATTTTCAAAACGTAAACTGAGCAGCGTGAGTTTCTTCCCCTTCCCATTCCGTGTGACTCTTTATGCCTCTTGAGCAAGTCTCTACCCAACCTTCCTAGCCTTAGCCCATTGGGTCAATGCCATGCCTGAAAATACCATGCCGAGGAACCCCAACATTCTCCCTGCCCTGGGCTGGCCATGGATGGAGAACACGCTCTTCCCCACCATCAATCTAGAGATCCTAAAACAGAGGAAAAGCTGCTGTGCAATGTGGGAGAACACAGCCAGGGGCAACTCAGGGCACAGTATGCACATCTCACTGGCATAAGACCCCAGCTCTGGATATTCCCCTGGGTACAACTGAATACCTCCAGGCAGCGCAAGACACTTCCCATTTATGGAACCTCCTAAAGTTAAGGCAAAATACATTATTATTGATTTCTTTAAGGAGCTAATGGAGGACTTCAGCTGGCCAGCCCAGAAATGCCTCTTGAGTTTTTTCTGCCTGTTCAGTCACTTCTTTTCGGTTTCTCTCACCGCGGCCTTATCTGTACAGCCCAACAAGTCACCAACAGCCTAAACCACAATCCCTGATTTAACCAAGCATGTTCTGGAAACCAAGCCCAGATACTTGGTTTACAGTTCAGTGTGTGGTGTTAGCTCAGAAAATAAACCACAGGCAAAGATGTCTTATGAACAGCCTTGACCCAAAGGAGTGTCCACCCTTCTCTCACACACAGACCTTGATAGAAAATGTCTTAAATTTTCAAAAATTATCTGCAGGGAGGATCATTCACCTTCATCGTTTACCTTCCCTGAGTTCAGGGAAGCTTCAACACACAACGTTCATCAGCCTTAAGAACAGAAGTGGCTGACAAGGTCACAATGACCACCGCTAGCCAAATCCGGCTGAGCTCAGACGCTCCACCCTGCCTTGGTTCTTCCATCGTCATCCGTCATCCTTCCTCTTCGGAAGTACTTGGTCAGCTTTTGGCTCCTGGAGACAACGGCAGGCATTGTCCTCGCTTAATGGTTTACGACTTCCCCGAAAATCAGCCATCAAAAGAATCCGAGGCTAATCCAATTTCACACTCAACTTGCCCTGGTCTCCTTATCGAGAGAGATTAAGGTTCCTCTTATCACTGCTAATTAACATGCTGCTGAGGAAAGAGAATCTGCTCAACAGAGAAAGACCAAAAAAGCATCTGAAACACAACCAACCAGGAAAGACAACAGGAAAATAAGGGCATAAAAAAAGTCTCTCCTTGGTCACCTGGAGCAAAAACGGTCAGTGGCCACAGATGACTAGCACAAGATGGACCCAAGCTAGGAGTGACCACCGCAGCCTAATCCCCAGTCATCGGGTCACATTCAAACAAGAGAAGATGACGCAGAAAGATGACGTGCTCTGTTATTGATTGTGCAACCACCATTTTATTTTATGGGATTTGCATTCTGCCTTTAGACCAACAGTTTGAGGGGTAGCTGCACAGCAAACCTTCCTTCCATTTTCCCCCACAATAGCAACCTCTCCTACGCAAAGAAAAGAGGATTGTGGCAATTAATAAATTTTACAATGCCACAAAATGCTGGACTCCATTCTAGCAAAAATGATTGACATCCAAAAAGCTCCTAGGATGAACTTACATATATCCTCTCCAGAGAGAGAGAGAGATGTTGAGAGGAGCTTTTTCTGTGTGGGCTTGCTCAGCTGCTCCTTGCAAAGCCAGACATTTTAGTTATTCCTGCCGTACGAACTTAAAATACCTTGCACAACCCAAGATTGGTGGGATTTTATTTTTGAAAATTACTTCTCCACAACCCCCACGCCATTTTACTTACGGACAAATTAAACCTTGTGGATTTACAATGGAAAGAATGCTAGACACTGAAAAATGAGAAGATTTATGCCTTGTGCACTAGAGCCAAAAGTTACATTAGAAAAGTTAATTCTGTTCTGGAAATGAAAGAAAGAAGTAAGAGAAAGAAAGCTGCCTCTTTACATAGTCCTGCTTCCGTTTCTCTTTCCAAATCCTTGTTTTACAACCCTAGAAGTCCAGCCTACCAAACACAACTGCCTGTAAATAACTTGTGAATTTTTCTCCTTCCATGGAAGAAGCCAAAACAAAACTCCAGTGAGATTTATGGCTGTAATTGTAGATCATAATAGGGCGCCAAGCAGAATAATCATTAGGTTTAAACAACAGAGGCGGAAGAGAGAGAAGGGGAAGAAAAGAATTAATAAATCAAGATAAATGTGAAACTTATCTGATGAAAAGGCCAGCCTGAGACTAATCTTCTATAAATCACGTAAAGCTAATCCTGAAGCTACGGCTTAGCTAAAATCTAGGTAAGTCTACTGGATAAAGAAGCCTCTTTCGAAACTTAATTGTAAAATTTGCCACTTTCCTAAATCCCATGCAAGGCTGTTTACAGAAGGACCTTAATCTGATCTCTGAATTAATCCATTTTTGAGTCTTGCTTAATACATCCAACCAGCTCAAGGGGCCACATTCACACGATGCTTGCAGATTCAGCCTATTCTCCAAAGCATCTGAACAAGAAGCAATGGATGGAAACTAATCAGGGACAGAATCAACCTAGAACTAAGGAGAAATTTCAGGCAGAGCAATTAACCGATAGAACGGCTTGCCTCCAGGGGTTGTGGGTGCTCCACCACTGGAGGTTTTTAAGAAGAGACTGGACAGTTATTTGTCCAGAAAGGTAGGGGTTCTCCTGCCTGAGCAGGAGGTTGGACTAGAAGTCCAGCAAGGTCCAACTCTGTATCTACAGAAAACTCTGTTGTTCTGTATTCTGTAGATCGCTCAAGGCCAATGATGGCTTCCTCAGGTTTCAAATGCACACATGTGAATCAAGCCAAGATGTCTGGCATCTCAGGTGCAGAAGACCAAGCCGAAGTAATCCAGGAGAACATCTTTTCATTGCTGGCTACAATCAAGGTAACAGCAGGCAACGATTCCTTTTCTGTCCCCACCTGCTTTGCTCTGTCTACCTAAATGTAGCTGGGGAGTTCTGGGAGTTGAAGTCCACCCATCTTCAAGTGGCCAAGCTTGAGGAAACACTGCAATAGAGATTGGGACCCATCCACCCAATTGCCTTCTCAAAGGATTCCCATTCATATACGTTACATCTCTTCCTTACCAACATTCATGAATTTAATCAATGTCAATCTCCCCCACCTCGCCAGGGCTGTTGCAAATGCAACTCTCCAGAAATGGTGCCTTCTGTTAAACAAAGGGCCCCCTGGTTCCATAAATGTCCATTATGGTTTTTATGGTCATTAATTAATTTAAGCCAACGCCAATATCGCTTGCATGTTCCCAAGCAGAGAGATTAGGAGCCTTTTAATAAGGATGATTAGAAGTGAGCGGGACCTTCAATGGCCTTCTTAAATTCCACATTCCATGCATAATTTGGAGGAAGGGGACCCATTCTGGTTTTCTCCCCCTCCCCTTGCTCCAACACCATTTCCTATCAAAAACTTACATCCTGTTCCTTCTTGGAGAACCAGGGCAAATAATTAGGCTTAATCCTCGTTAGGTCGGCATGTTTCCTTTGAATCCCGTTACCGCATTCCTTCATGCAAACAACTGCCCTTTTTAAAGAGAGAAAATCACATCTCATTATGGCTGTCTTCTTGGCCGAAAAAACAAGGTCATGACCTTCCTTTGCCTGTAGCCTTATAACCTCTGGTTCCTGACTGTGCCTCCCAATTGGGGAATCACCCCCCCTCCCAATAACCCAACCTGTATGAACAGATCATTACTTAAATGAGAAAGCTCAAATGTTTCAAACTGAGCACAAGA